AACTGATAAGCAAATATCGGTAAACCTTTAGGCCCGAAAGGAACTGAAAGGGGCTGATTTTATCATGGTGTTTATTGCTTTCCGCTCTTCAGTTTATAAGCTCTTGTTTCGGTGTGACATTCTCAGTTGAAGCAATTGTTCACTTGCCCAGGTATGCTCACGTACGTGTAAATTTGTCCAATGTGTTCGCTTGCGGTTTTTACGCACTTCCTATTTGAAAGCCAACCATTCACAGTAAGCAAAACATTCTGTCGTTCATCTCCCCGGGGACTACTACATTATTCTAAGAACTGAACTGCGGTAGTGGCAGTTGGCGACCTTACCGTTGCGCTGGCCCACTGGAAAGCATATCAGACCGAAACACAATGACGGGAATTCTCACCGCTGCCATCGCTTTGTAAGTGGCTCTTCTCTGTGTAAATTGTCCTTACAAATAGACATGCAATGTTGTCATGTTATTCCATTTAGTGGGAAGTGATCGTCTAGCCTGATAACTGACAGCATAAAGGACTACGTTTTTCTCTCCTTTCGTGCTAATAAATAGTAATCACTCAGGTCTTTTCTTTTCTCAACAGAACGAGCGTGCTTTATGTAACAATAACAGAAGTTTCCTCAGGTAAGACCAATCGTTGAATAGTTTCGTGTTCGTTGATTTCTCCTGTATTAACACGTTGGCTACTCAACTGAGGCTTTGTGTCGTTCAGTGTTGTAGCCATGTTCAAAACGATTCGTAGATCCTCTCTCCTCGGTTCATCGTGATGTAACCTAAGCAGTAAGCGTGATATTTTCCCCTTTTTACCACGAAAGATATCGTATAGAACGCGATCTTCTCGAGAATAATAAATCGCTGCTGTCAAGTTACTTCGTACTATGTTTAGAATTCAAAACCCAAATAAATGTCGTCTTCATTTCAATATATCAAGTTTCAAATGGCGTGAGTTTTATGTTGTTTTCATGTAAACTTAAAAGGCAAATATCTTGTACAAGCTAAACCCTTTACACTCTAAAAATGCTACTGACTAAGGATAATTTAGCACAGCCATACTTTTAAAGATGGTCAACGACGCTAAGTGAGTTGTCTGAGGTCCGGCCGCTAGCGTGTGAAAGTAACCATGTATTATAACTGGATAATGTTACCAACCTACCGTCAACCAACGAAGCGAAGCGAACGAACGAACGAACGAATTGGAACGAACAGACGGACGAACGGACGGAGGGACGGACGGACGGACGAATGAACAAATAAAAGTGAATGAAATTAATGAATTAACGAATTGAAGGAGCAAACAAACACGAACGAAATGAACCAACGGAACGAACGAATGACAGTGAACCAGGCAATCTGCAGTTTTTTTTCGAAGTAAGCTAATAAAACAAAGCATTTGAGTATGCTTGTAGCGGGGTCGTAAATTGTGTCCCTTGAGTTCACAGGTCCCGATGACAACCAAATGCATTGTTTCATTTTGAGTCTACCTTCCACTTTTCTGAAGTGCAATCAATGTTTTGCTGTCTTAGGCAATAGCACACAACTTGGCGACCATTAAATATGGTGTCCACAGGGCCGAGTGTGCGATAACCACTCTCTCTCCCGGCGTTTTTTCGAAGTAATGGTGGTAACTTCAGTTTGTTACTTCGTCGTTGAACAGTGGTTTTCACTTCGTAATTGTGATAGTTTGCTCCACACAGGAAAATGCCAACGTCGAATTTATCAAGCGACAGGACAATCTGGCACAATAGAATCACCTGGCTATCCAAAAGACTACAGTCCACTTCAAACCTGCATATGGCGGATCAGTGTGAACACAGGGTACCGGATTCACATTCATTTTGACCCACGCTTTGACGTGACCAGGACAGCAGCGTGTAAAGACGAGTATGTACTGGTCAGCACTCGAAGACAGAGATTTAGTGATTTTAATGTTGTTCGAAACAGTAAAGATTCAGTTGTGTTCTGTGGCAATCAGAAGCCGAGCAACGTAAGTTCCCCTAGTAATGAGATGTGGGTACGCTTCAAGTCGAGGTCTGGTGGCCGGAAAGGTTTTAGAGCGTGGTATGGGGCAGAAGGTAAGTCCTTTACTCATTGTTCGTTTGTCCACTCGCAATAAACAACAATTGTTGAGTGTTCTTTTTTGGCAATGTATCAAACGCTAGTGTCTGTGTTCCATCCGGATTTCCAAACACCCAGAGACCTCTGTCTGGTGCAAACGCCGCACCACTCATGTGAAGAACCAAACTGACGAAAAAGTAAGGCAGACGGTTTGGTTCAGTTTGGACAGTTTGGTGTGACAATTTAGCCAGATACGGTAACGATATAATCTACTTCGCAAGTTTCGACGTATGCTCAAACTCTAAGTGAGATGCCATTGTTATAGACCACCTATCGAAAGAAATAGGATTACAAGTTATAGTAATATATAGATTTGCCATTATTATAGACCTCCTATAGATAGAAATAGGATTACAAGTTATAGTAATATATAGATTTAGCAGAGCCTAAAAGCGGAGCTCCTGATTGCTAAAATTAACCATAAAGGAAAAAGAGGATTTGTTTTTCTGGGATCAGAAACTAAAGAAATGATCAATTTTTTTAGTTTTCAAGCGTGTGGTTTTGCTATCTTTCCAATTAAATCTTAACAAACAATACCCAATAAGCGTCCCCAATATAGTAGAAATTACGTACGTGATATATCAGGGACTTTCCAAGATACGATTGTGCAAGGAATATGTCGGGAGAGAAGTCAACAATGTGCTGGGTGTTAATTTGCGCCGAAATTTTGCCTTTGGAAATACTCTCTTCTTCTCTCCCAGAGTAATAATCTGACTTGAGCCTGCGATCCAATCGAAAACCAGTACCTGGTCAGCGGTCAACTAAAACAACGCAACCTCAATGAGCTGTAAACCTGAGCCCGCGAAATGGTCACGAGATACTGGTCAGCGGATACCTTGTTTTGACAGCTATTAACCAAAACATGGATGTAAATATCAAATATATACCTATGGTAATGTTGCTTCTCTCTCATTTTTCAAGGTATTGGGTTTGGCGTACCGACGTACGGACAGTCATGTCAAAACCAAAATTTTTTAGATCGATGGTTTACCAAATTTTCTAAGGTATGGGGCTCCGCTCGACGCCTTTGGCGCGCAGGAGCTCCGCTATAAATAAGACAAAATGGCGTCTGTGCTGTCTTCACAGAGTGGACGAGCCATCAAGTATCTATCTAAGTGCAGAGGTCTAGCTAGTGAAAATCAACCAAAATAGACATTCATTTTATTCGAATCAGCACTTTTTATTTACATGTAGCGGAAACTAGTATGTAGAAATCGTTCATTGGCCTAACGGGTTACTTGTTTGACTAACATGATTTTGAGTGACTTGGCTCTTTAGTCGTAGTGAGGTTATGGAAAATTCTAATAGTTTCTTTGCATTAGATATTGATGAGTGCTCGGAGCAGGCCAATGGAGGCTGTCATCATGGCTGTGTGAATACTCCAGGAAGTTTCAGATGTAGCTGTCGATCAGGGTTTCGTCTTGTGCCTAATGGGAAAAGATGCATCGGTAAGCATCGTTTTCACTCCAATATGTAGCAGCTAAACTTTGATTATTCCTTACTTCGGCTGAACTACTCCATTTAGAACGCTTTGAAAGTCTCAAGAATGTTTTTCAATTTGAAATTATTTCCCAAATGAGACGCAACCCATCAACGGCCGCTGTGACGTCATACGACACCGAAAACACTCGACTGCTTTAGTAATTATGACATGTCTTTAGCCAATGTTAGTCAGTGTCTCCTCTAAGGGAGAATTTTAATAACAGATCTTCTCGAAATTTTCCCTTGTCCACTTAAAATATAGCTGTTGTTTTAAGCTAAGAAACAGTTAACAAGGGGTTTCATGAGTTCTAGTCAGATTTACATTAAATGAGATTCAAGTTCTTCTTTGTTCAAGTCACTTTGTGTTTGTGTGGGTTTTGGTTGTTATTATTGTTGTTGTTGTTGATTTGTTTGTTTGTTTGGTTTTTTTGCTCGTACCGCCGGGGAATCAGGATAGCATACGCAAATGAAGTGTAACCGTTAGTTAAGTTCATTGCAACTGACAGAACGTATCTTTGATTATTCTTTCAGAGGACATCTTGATCTCCTTCTCCAAGAAGCGTTATCGTTCATCAGTTCAAGTCACAGCCCCTCTTGGTACGTCCATTATTACGGTGCGCGCCAGTGCTGGAAAATCCAACCGTCCAGTCCATTATTACATCTCATCAGTGAACAGCAAGACTTACAATGTTGAAAGCGCATTGTTTGACATCGACTCCACGATAGGTATTTACAACACACTCATTTGTTTTATTTGTTCCTTAGTTAGCTAAGTGTTGTTAATAGAAAACTATTCATGACCTTGCCTATAATGAAATCAAACAGCCCTGCCCAAATTATTATTGTTTAATGACTACATGAACACTAGGATAACCAAGTTGCCGACTTTCGTCAAACTCGCAATCTGATTGGCTATGCGGATGCGGTCTATCAATCGATACAAGTCCTACGTAGCGCGCGGTTTTCACACCTTTTTTTTTAACTCGACGTATAATTGTCAAGAACATGATAAAGATCATTAGGCTATCGGTTGGCGTATTTTATCTACAGCTTTTTCTGATCCTTTTTCTCCAGGTACAATTTCTGTTCGTCGTAAGCTCAAGAAGACAGCCCTTTATCGCCTGAAAGTGGAGGCGCGCTATAATGACATCACTTCCGGTTATGCCACGGTCGTAGTAAGAGTTACTGCCGCACAGCAGAAGAAAACCCAGCCAGAAGCTAAGCGAGGTTTAAAATTTCGCAGTCCTATTTATTCGGTCATTATTCCGTACAACATGCTCGTCGGACAAACCATACTACATTTGAGGGCTGAGAAAAACAGAAGCTTCGTAAACTCCATTGTACGATACAGAGTGCAATCGGTGGACCCCTTCCACAGAAATCCCTTCTTCAGTCTTAATCCCTCGAAAGGTTCCCTCAAAATCACCAGGGATCTAGCAGAACTCGTCTTAGATGGTAAACCCACCAGCTTGGTGTTACAGGTTATAGCCAGAGTTCAAGGCAATCCAAATGTGTTTGCGTCAACTCAGGTGTCAGTTGTCGTTGTTCCAGAGTACGCTGGTAATGATTACGTGAAGTCGTCACTAGAGGCTGTTAAGAATAGGTCTTCCTTCACGGAGAGCTCTGACCGGCTGCGTTCCCAGAGGAATGGTTCTTCTCCCGGTCAATCAAAATCACCGAGAGGTCAAACAGAGTTTTCTTTACACCGCATATTTCGGCGACCATCCCGAGAAGCTCAGAGAATGTCTCAAGCAGACTTACAATTCAGCAACATTATTAGAGAAATTAAACGAGAAATGGCAGATCAACTGATCGGTGAGTTTTTAAGTAGTAACAAGAATTTTCGATAACACGATGATGCATTAAGTTTCGTGCTACCAACATGTACCATGTTGTATTTAATTGATATCCCATCCTGCCTAAGCAGTTGATGCGCTGCGTTTTAATGAAACCATGCAGTGAGAACCACAAGAAGAGGTGTCGTATAGCTAAATCTGTCTTAATTTGTAAGCCATTACGTTCAGTCAGGTGCGAGATAGTTCACCCACTCATTTGTTAAGCATAGCTAAGTTGCTGGACTAACTCATAATATGATTGGTGATCGGCACTTACTTTTGATCGATAAGCCGGCTCTCGGAATTTGAACCTGCTTCTACTATTCTCTGCGTTATTTCCCCAAAGTACTGCTCAAAACCATCAATAAATCATGGTCATCAAAATTCTTAAAAATAAACAGCCACTGAACTGGGCTATTAGAAAAAAAAAAACTGAAAAAGAAACTGCCGTTCTTAGGGTGTGTTGTTAGAAGTGCTACTTGTCTGATTCTTGTAGCGTGTTGGCACCTAATAAAGTTGACCCACTAGTTTATCGCTGTCGTTAGGAGTAATTAAATACCTACCATATAAAATTCAATTGTAAGGAAAAGGAAACAGACCACTAGCTTTTCCGGAAAAGCACAATATATCACTACTGATTTCCTTTATAAGATAACCGTGCCCGATCAAGTGCAGTATCGGTGAGACTGGGACCGAGTTCTGTTGCCTCAGCCACAAAGTTATCTGACATTATTAAAGAACTCAACTGTTCAGCGCCTGAAGCTGAATGTTCAGACACTGAATATCATTCACACTACAGAACATTTGATGGCACCTGTAACAATCTGGACAACCCTCTGTGGGGTGCGGCAAACACTCCATTTACCCGGATGCTAGACCCACTTTACTATGATGTGAACGGCCTCTCGGATCCCGCAGGATTTCCCGATCAGCCGTACGCGCCAGAGCTTCCTTCACCACACCGCGTAAGCAAAGAGTTTCTAATTCACACCACAGAAGCCAGAGGAAACAAGAACCACTATTCTCACATGATGATGCAGTGGGGACAGTTCTTAGATCACGACATCTCTTTTACAGCAGAAAGTGAAGGAGGAGAGAGATGCTTTTTACCAAAGTAGGTGTTTGCACCTGTGTATTTTAACTGAGTGCAATCGGGCAACACCTTAGATTTGATGGAATTAGTCTGTTAAAAGACCCTCTATTTTGTCTTGCGTTTGTTGAGATCCCAAGCTTAGCGAAGCGCTCCGCGCTCGCATCGCTCGGGCACTAAAAAAAAAAAAAAAACTCGTAGCAAAGCGATAAAAATCTCTGGACAGACTAGATGGAGTCGAATTTGAGATTATTTTCCCAAAGTCGAGATCAATAAAATATACATGATATGTTCTATTCTTGAAAACCGGCAATCCAGAGAGTAGCAGTGTTAAAGAAAAATAGAGCAGCTGCTCTCAAGCAATTATTAGTAATTTAACCCTGTGCCCTGTCTGAAAGTGCAAACCGTACAATAAGAATGCGTTGCTATGGGATAATCCGGATCAAAATCAATAATCCAAGATCATTTAGATCATGGTACCTGAAGGAGGTCGATGAATCCGTGACCAAAGTGGATTCATCGGTTGCTCTGATGCACGATGATCCCAGTGATTTTGAATCACTGATCCCGATTCAGATAATCCTAAAGGAACGTATTCTAAAAACTACTTATCTTTATGACATAGACGGGAATTACAGCCTTGCAAGATTATACATCGGCATTTTTGTGCTGACTGACGAAAAGCAAAAACCTTGCTGACTAGTTTGTGATAAAAACTGTCGAATAATATAAATGTAGTCAGTATGAGAAAGCTGTTTATCCGTCAGTGACACAAGCCATACACTCGATGGGAGTTGAACCTATTTAGAATGTTCACAACCCTCTATTTTCTCGTATTTTCATTCGATCGTTGAAAGCGGGGATAGACTCGCGAGAAAACCGGACGTTAGCTCAAAAGGGGAGAGCCTATTCTTCGTTTGGTTCGCTTCGCTCGCCTCCCAGTCCCCATCCCCACGCTTCACGCTCGCTTCGCTCGCTTTTTCTTTCGCTTGCTTTGAAAAATAGAGAGGCTGTGAACAGTCGAGAACCTATCGAGACCCTCTGCACACCGTGACCTACATTATGCTTTGTTTTTAGGTGTGATGGTTCACCTGAGGATTACGAGCCTCCTTGCTTTCCTATCATGTACCCGGATGGCTCTGAGTGCACTATGTTCACAAGGTCAGCGGCAGCCTGCCAAACTGACAGTGAAAACGTAGCGCCCCGTGAACAGCTTAATACCATCACATCATTTATCGATGGATCGCAAATATATGGTTCCAGTAGCGAGGTGGCAGAAAATCTTAGAGATTTTAATTGTAAGTATTGAGTTATAAGAGCCTCAGAATGTTTTAAACTGAATGTTTTAAGCCTCATGTTGAGTCTTTTAAGCCTCATGTTGAATGTTTTAAGCCTCAATGTTTTAAGCCAATGTTTTAAGAATGTTTTAAGCCTCAGAATGTTTCCATTTTCTGTTGCACGTGAGCAACAAATCGAGAGTCTGAATAGGGTTTTAAAATCCAATTCTGGTGGTTTTATGATATTTATTTTGTACATTTTTTCGATGACTATATATTTTGGATAAAACAAGAAAAAATCACAGAAGGAAGAAAAGCCGGCAGGGCAAGCAAAACAAAACC